GCGAGACGGCTTGCTTCCTGGCCTAAGTTTCTTTGGCAAGGGTACCAGGAAGACCGATGAGCCCGTGAACGCAATCATCGTCACTTACATGGTTGCACAGCTCACCATGCTTTTTGACATCAACCAAATTGCATCCTTCGTTACGATGACTTATTTGATGACCTTTCTGGTGACGAACCTGGCCTGTTTCCTCCTAAAGATCGGGTCTGCCCCCAACTTTCGCCCGTCTTTCCACTACTTCAACTGGAAAACCGCAGCGACCGGCACCTTGGTATGCGGCGCAAGCATGTTCTTCGTCGACGGGATCTATGCCACAGGCTGCGTGGGCGTACTGATGATGCTATTCCTGCTAATTCACTACACCTCGCCTCCTAAGTCCTGGGGTGATGTCAGCCAGAGTCTGATCTACCATCAAGTGCGAAAATATCTGCTTCGGCTCCGCCAGGAGCATGTAAAGTTCTGGCGACCTCAGATCCTACTGTTTGTCAACGATCTCAGCGAACAGTCTAAGATGATCTCTTTTTGTAACTCGCTGAAGAAAGGAGGGTTGTTTGTGCTGGGCCATGTGCTCGTAACAGATGACTTCACCACCGCTGTGCCAGAGGCACGGCGGCAGCAGACTGCATGGACCAAGTTCGTTGAGAGCTCCCGAGTGAAGGCCTTTGTCAACATTACGGTCTCTCCTACTGCCGAATGGGGTGTCCGCAATGTCACACTAAGTGCTGGTCTGGGAGGTATGAGGCCGAACATAGTTGTCATTGATCAATTCCGCGAAGGCAAATCGTTAGTTGAGAGGCCATCTCTTTCGAGTCGGAGAGAATCGGGTGGAAGACGTATATCTCGTGAACTGGTGCCTGTGATAGCGGAAGACGGCTCGCAGGAGCTACCAATGTCAACCAAGACATATGTGACCATCCTAGAGGATTTGCTCTTCAAGCTGCGGATGAATGTTGCTGTGGCCAAGGGATTTGAGGATCTGGAGCTTCCTGGACCACACGGACAGCACAGAAAGAAGTACATTGACCTCTGGCCGATTCAGATGAGCGCAGAGCTCGGTGCAGACAGTGAGAGCAAGAAGAATGTTTTGACCACGAACTTTGACACCTACACCCTCATCTTACAGTTAGGGTGTATCCTCAACACTGTACCGTCGTGGAAAAAGACGTACAAGCTCCGAGTGGCTGTTTTCGTTGAGTATGAAACCGACGTCGAGGACGAGAGAGGAAGGGTCGAAGCACTTCTCGAGAAGCTAAGGATAGAGGCCGAGGTTTTGGTTTTCTGGCTGGCATGCGGCGACCTTAAAACCTATCGTATCATCGTCAACGGCGACATATCGCCGGAGACCGAGGATGCCGAACCTCGAGTCCATGAAGCTTTACGGAACGAAGAATGGTGGCAGGATATCCAGAAGTCTAGGAGTGAGCATGAAGCTCAACAGCAAGCTGAACTGGGTGCTATCCGAAGGGCAGATGAGCGGGTGCCTAGTTGGCCCATGCAAAGCCCCGAAAGTGTACATAAGCCACTACAACCCCTGGCTGGGGGGCTGAGGAAATTGGTAGAGTCGTCCAAGCGCCGGCGATCCATTTCGAGCTTCAGAGGGCTGGGGAGTGTCAGCCTAGGCATGCAAACCCATCGCTTGCTCGATGCTTTTGTCGACTATGACAGCAGCGAGAGCAGCACAGGTGAGAGCAGTGACGAAGGAGAGTTTCCGCCTTACCTGGATGAGGAGGATGTGGACGAAGAAAACGGCCAGGATGCCGAACACAGGATCCAGGGTCCTCAATCAGAACTGGAAGGATCTTCTAAGGCGAAACAGAAGGTTACCGAAGAGGTTGCGCCGGACCAGGCAGTTCCGTCAATTATCATGACGTGTGACGATGCGACATCCCCGAAGACGCAGTCAAGTCCATCCCGGCCAAAATTCACCCGTTCGCCGTCCAGCAGCCGCTTCAGCTCATCACCAATTCCTGAAGCTCGTGTCAACGCAGAGGAGGGCGCGGGCCCTTCAATCATGTTCGCCCCTAGTGCATCTCCTCCACGCACATCTAACCGGGTTGAGTCCATCTACACACGACGCTCATCTTCAGGGCCATCTGTCCTCAAAACTGCGTCTGGATATCCGCGACAGGCATCAGTCCCCTTATCATTCAATGATCTCCCTAGTCGGGCGCAACACCTGATCTTGAATGAACTGATGAACAAGCACAGTGATGATACAGCTGTTCTATTCACAACATTACCCTCGCCGTCCGAAGGGACTGCACAGAGCGAGGCAGCAAGTGCCTCGTACCTGAGTGACTTGACGGTCTTCTGGCAAGGTCTGCCGCCATGTCTGCTGGTTCATAGCAACAGCATGACAGTGACGATGAATCTCTAGTGTAAAGGCATGAACATAAAAGGGGAGCAAGGCATTGCACATTTTCGCTAAACCATAGTATATACGACTACTGGTACATTTACTGTTGATAGCATATGCATATGTTAATAACTGTTTGGAGATATTATCATTCTCCACAAATTTGACCAAACTACTATCATATTGCCCAGCCAAGTAGTACTAACAGACTTCAATAGCCGATGGGTTGACCCACCCTAACTGTCACCCACCAGGTCTTGCCAGTGCAACTTTTACAAGGATACCAGGAAACGAGCTCCCCCCTTGTCTTTCCGGTTGGCTCACTCCTTGGTTCCATCCTTTTTCAGCAAGACTCCCGTTGATTCAACCTCGTGTATACCATCTTCTGACTGTTTCCCAAACCAACAGAATAATGTATGTATATTCTAAAGCTAAAACAACCAGGAATGTAGCATGATGTAATGTATACAGAAAAGAAATGTCCATTGGAACAAACAGGTACACATCCCATAGTGCCGACAGTAGTGGTTTTCCAGTCTAAGTATAACTGAAGAAGCCATTTCCGGATTTGACACCCAAGTCACCCCGATCGATCATCTCCCGTAGGTACTTGCGCGGCGCATTGGGGATCCCCATTCTCACTTTGGCATAATGTTCCTCGACGGCGAGAAACACGTCCAGTCCAGCAATGTCCATCAGCTCGCAGGGCCCTCGGGGTGTTTTCAGCACACACTTGTAGATTTGGTCCACCTCCTCGGGCGTGGCAATGCCCTCTTCTAAGACCAGGAGGGTCTCTCGTTTGATGGCGGCCCAGATGCTATACATGATTAGCATGTATACCCGTGTTCCATATGACGTGGTTGGCGAGATACCGGTTGAAGGTGTAGCCTGTGGAGGATTTGCGGACGTGGAAGGGTTGGAATCCATGGTCTTGGGTTTCCTTCATAAGCAGAGGTATGATGTCGGGTCGGGTTTGGCTGGAGCCCATGATTTCGATTGCTGAGGGATGGTTGATTAGCACATTGAAAAAGCTCTTCATGGTTGGATTAGGCGTTGGACTTCCCTACCTGTTGTCTCGGGTGGCCAGACTTGGAAAGATAATAGTTAGTGTTGCTGCTCATGGGGCAGTTATTGATAGGTATTGGACTTACAGGAATGCAGGTTGACGAAACGATCATCTTCCTTAAGCGATAGTCCATTGCAAATATCAGTAATGGAATAACTGCTCGAGTTTGATGCGATGATTGTCTGGGAGTGCGATCTACTGTCGAGCTCCAGCATCACGGACCGCTTGTATTCCAGGTCCTCTGGGACACACTGACGGGATTTAGCTAGGGTACATCAGTGCTCGGTGGCCTTTCCCTACCTCAATAGCAAGCCAGGAATCGCGAAGCGCTGGGTCCAGATTGTCGACAGTGAGGCTGGTTATTTTGCCTTCCTTGCCAGCTGGATTGGAGGCTCTCAGCCTTTGTATGGTAGCTAATGCCAGGTTTAGCTGGGCCGGGCTTTGGTCGACAAGGTAGACTGGTCTCCCTTGGCGCGACCACTGTTTCCGATACCAGTTAAACCAGAGCTCCGATTTAGAGTCAGGGAATCAAACATACCATGTATGCAAGGCGCGAGCCTTGAGTGCCTGCACCGAGCAGAGTAACAGCGTTGAAGAGTTTAGACATTTGGCGACTTGGCTTTAATTGACTTCAGTTATCCTGCGATTCAATCTTGAATCTCATAGCTGCAAGCAATCCCTGGATTAAATAGACAGATATCTATCGCTAAATACTAGGATTTTGTCGAAGATTCAGTGGTTTTCTGATGTCAGGGTCATTTTTGACCGTTCGTTCCTGTTAATACCCTGATCTGTACAACAGCACCGGTTTGATTGATGACTTACTTGGTTTCGAGTAGATATTTCTTGCTCCTTTCAGGAACTGGCTTTGACCGGGGGGTGTTACCGCAATGTCTTCTGGTCTTGCCTCCCAAACCTGTAGTCCTTTTCTTCATGGTAATTTGGTGAGCAACCCATAAATGATCGATTGATTGACTCAGAGTTTAGCACTTACCATTCGAAGACCGCGGCATTTACGCTGAGTGACTAGCAAATTGACACTTTCGGTGGCAATCTGCCGAATTTAGTTTGTTACATCTAATCGTGGTCTAATTGAAGAACGTCCCCAGTGAACGGGGTATGAGGCCGGTGGCTGGGTTCCTGGCTGACAGTCTGCATTTTGCTTGGTCAGGTCCTTGTATATTTCCGGGGAAGGGAACGTGAAATGTCAGAGCAAGGAAGTATAAAGTCTATCGGAATGATGTAAACATGTAATAGATAACGTTAGTTTCTGCCGATATTGATCAGCTCTTTCTTGGCTTGGAACCTAGGAACTAAAAGTCCGATGGCGGAACGATATGTCTCTCCTCTGCTTCCAGCTAATATTCTGAAAACTGGCAACTCTTCGAACAGAAGTTGAACGGATTTGCATGGCTAACGGCACAACACTAATAATCTTCTCGAGAAACTTATCACGACCTTGCAGTCTCAAATGGCCAAGAATCATGATGCAGTGGTTGTCAGGCCCCTATGACATAGGAATCCTACCATGCCATGCGACGATCCTGCCAACTCTTCAGACGAAGATCGCAACTCTTTAATAGACGAGCTTGATACTCCTATGCTACCAAGCTCCGCATCGAATGGGCTGAGAACTCTGAATCGACCGGGAGTAGTTGACGATTAGAGGATCCGGGTTGGAAGTACTTTGTCCGTCGTTCGAATGTCATTGAAATAACATTGTTCCTGGAAACGTTAAAACGCGAGAGCACTAATGTTTGTCTGACGCTTATATTGTCTAGTCTTCTTTCTCGCTTAGACATGAAGTTTGCAGTGACTCGTAGCCGGTATTATATATTGATGGCTAGCCAACAGTCACAATAGGCAGGGAGAATAATTGAAACAAGGAGATCAAGTCGGATCATGCTGACGATGAATGTAGATGAAGAAGGTTAATCTTGTGCGGCCATATGTGGTTCAGATTGAAAGTGCATAGAAGCCCAGCATGTTGCACGAGGAGCGAATGGCATGTGCTGGGCCAGTTTGCAACGGCAGTCTGGCTGTGGCACCATTTGCACCTGGAATCATCTGACTGGCATTCATTACATACTACCGTTCCCCTGTCCTGGTGCAACACAGTAAAGGGACTAACACCCTCATGTCCAATACAAGACTATAATAAGTTGCTGTCCCATTTCCATGACATTCGAGAATAATTAATATAAATGATTCCAAACATTGTCAGCTTAGCTGCCTGCAATGGCTACAAGAGTGGTTTTGATGGATACAGTATTGACCATTCGAATTAACCTACATCAAGACCACTGTCTGAAAGACGAGCGTCCTAGAGCTTGCTTAAAGCGACAGAATTCTCCCTAAACCTTGGGTTGATAAAGCAAGGATGTCCGCCAGAGAATACCTATAATGCTAAATCGGAAGTGAGAGATGCATCAGAGGAACAGTTGACACCAGACAATGTCAGCCCAACCCATGTGGCCTTTAGCAAATGTGTAGGCATCGATTGTTGCAGTGAGTGGCCATCCACAGCCGGACTCATACTATTTTTACCAAGTCGATATGCCGTGGAAGGTTCGGACTGACGTGTTTGTCCGCGAGACAGAGAGACTATTTGAAACAGATATACTCCGGAAGCCGTCTCCGACCAGGCCCGGTCTTATGACTACTGCAATTATCCAGTCAGAGTTCACACGCGGGAGATTAGACGGACTATATTCTCGGCTGTATGGGAGAACTTGCCAGCCCAGGCGAAACCGGTTGCAAAGGGCCTCCTGCCCGGTATATCCGGCCAATGTAGCATCAAGGTAGCAATAAGTGGATACTCCATGCTTTGGGCTAGATAGCTACGGCATACCTACGCACCGACCTCTAGAGGATTGCATTTCGATGACGCCGTGCTACTCCTCCGTGCCTTGCTACAAAAGCTGGGAGGAGAAAGGTGGATTTGCTTGTTCGGGGAAAGGGGGGAAGAGCACGAAGAGGGCAGCAGGTTGGCAGCGAGGGTAATCAGACTCAGGGCTACCGTGTAGAATCTAGACCACGAAGTAATGGGCGCTGCAAGGCGAAAGGATTAAACGCAGACCAGAAGAAGCAATTGTCAGATGGCCGCCCGTCGAAACGGTGACTAATGCACAATTGGGGTCCGCTGATTGGCTGCCACCCCAGCTTCCCCTTCTAGCATCCATCGATCCCTGCCTCGCGCTGGCCGATCAACTGCCCCGGCGATTCGTGTTCTCATTCTCTCGTGCTTCTCGTTCGGTTTTCACGCATGCTGACTTGGGCGCCTTTTTACGGCCCTTTTTTCTCTCATTAATTCTTCCCCCCCGCGACTTCTAGTCTCTCTCTCCTCGCCATGCTCACCGTCCAAATCTCCTAACGCTTAGCCTTCCCGACCTTCAGCCCCCCGGAATCCATCGCAACCCCCTAAGTTACGTATCCTTCCCATTCGCTTCAGTAATGCACCACGGGCGAGTACGTCGCAAGAACGGCAGTCTCAGAGCCTCCAAAGCTGGCCAGCGTCGCAACATGTCCCATTTGATACCCGATAATGCCCCTCCACCTCAATCCAAAACCGTCACCGTTAGCGACGATAGTCCTGATACCTCCGACGCCGCCTCGAACACTTCAGCGACCACCGTTATCACCAATACCTCCAGCGTCCCTGCCACCTCTCCCACTAACGGGGTTGATCCCGTGAAGAAAGCTATGGCCCGCAAGGCTTCGTCGCCGATGGCGCCCCCTTTCATGGTGTCCGCGCCGGGCAAGGTCATCGTCTTCGGTGAACATGCCGTCGTGCACGGCAAGGCTGCCATGGCCGCCGCAATCTCCCTCCGCTCCTACTTCCTCGTAACCACTCTGTCGAAATCACAGCGCACCATTACCTTGAATCTCCGGGACATGGATTTCAACCACACCTGGAACATTGACGATCTGCCCTGGGATTTCTTCAAACAACCCTCCAAGAAGAAGTACTATTACGACCTAGTAACTAGCCTCGACGAAGAATTGTACGACTCTCTGAAACCATGTGTTGAAGATATATCGCCCAAGGCGCCCGAGGAGATACGGAAGAAACACAAAGGGTCGGCGCTGGCGTTCCTGTACCTATTTTGCTCCTTGGGCTCACCCCAGCACCCAGGAGCTATATATACTTTGCGCTCGACCATCCCCATGGGTGCAGGTCTTGGAAGCAGCGCCAGTGTCTGCACTTGTTTCAGTGCTGCATTGTTACTTCAGATCCGTACTCTAGCAGGCCCACATGATGATCAGCCCCCGGATGAAGCGGAGTTACAGATCGAGCGTATCAACCGGTGGGCTTTTGTCGGAGAATTATGTATACACGGAAACCCAAGTGGTGTGGACAACACGGTCTCTACTGGCGGCAAGGCCGTAATTTTCAGGAGAGAGGACTACTCGAAGCCCCCGAAAGTTATACCGCTACCTAATTTCCCTGAATTACCGCTCTTGCTCGTTGACACACGACAGAGCCGCTCGACGGCGGTCGAAGTTGCCAAAGTTGGGAAGCTCAAGAAGGAACACCCACTCGTCACCGAATCGATCCTTGATGCCATTGATAAGGTGACTGTGTCCGCTCAGAGTGCGATCCAGGGGGTGGAGGGTGATAGTATCGATAAGGAGACTCTCGAACATATCGGAACGCTGGTTCGTGTCAACCACGGTTTCCTAGTTTCCCTGGGGGTATCTCATCCGCGACTGGAGCGAATCCGGGAACTGGTCGACTTTGCCAATATTGGTTGGACAAAGTTGACTGGTGCGGGCGGCGGTGGTTGTGCGATCACACTCCTGCGCCCAGATGCCAGTGTGGACGCGCTCCGTGAGCTGGAGCGCAAACTCGCTGCAGAGAATTTTTCCAAGTATGAGACAACCTTGGGTGGAGACGGTATTGGAGTCCTCTGGCCAGCGGTGCTGCACAACGGCACCGATGAAGAGGGCGGCGAAGAGATCGACCAGCAGAAGTTTGAAAATGCCGACGGACCCGAAGGCATCGAGCGCCTTGTTGGCGTCGGCGTTCAAGAACGTCGGGAAGGCTGGAAATTCTGGAAACGAGCTGTCTGAACTCGACTTTCCCTCACCCTCTCTCATTTCATCGGAACTCTTTACGATCATTTCCCCTTACGTCCGAGCTTGGTGTTAGGGCATTGCACGATTGCATATTCTATTTGTTTAATCGACTTTCAATTCCCCTTTTTTCTTCTGTTGTCATGGCTTCACTTCACTTACTATTCTCTTCCCTTCTGTGTATAATAATTCTTTCCAGATTCTTCGACACGCCTCTTATCTAACTACGGAATATATTCCTTATCATACACATTTTATTGACCCCCCTTTTCTTTTCTTTTCTTCCAATCTTTCTTCAAATGATGCGTCAGGGACCCAGGCTTCAGTGAACAACTTATCTCATGCTTTATGTTGTATCTAAGTAATCCAGCGATGCCAGTGTCAAGTCAAGAAGTGTATTCAGCCCCTCTTATGTGTATACTTGAACTTCAAGTATCTGGCACTGAAAATAACAATATTACTACTGTACTACTAGTACCAATATCATAGAACGCTAAATATACACTCCCAGCGATATGAACAAAGCACAGAAGAAAGGACGTATATCCTTTTCACGTTCATCATCAATTACAGTACCAGGCTGGCACTTGGACAAACAAACACAAGAAAGAGGTTAAAGATAGTGGTCCCATTCTATGATTACCCCATTGTAGTCTCCCAGCCCTTTTCTATCATCACATCCATCCAATAGACGCCCGGCTCCCCGGCGTCCATACGCCGCCAAACCTCCCGCACCAGCTGCAGACAGACACTAATGGGCTTTGGAGGGAGCACGTGAAGATACGAGGTGAGGCGGCCAAGGATGAACCGACGACTTTGCGAGACGTCAATGGCATGGGAGGAGATACTTGGGCCGTTGCTGCTATCGAGAGTGGCGTCAAGTGGGGGCAGACGGGGCAGACGAAGCTCGCTACTCGAGGCTACGAGGAGGAAGGGCTGGAGACATCGGGTGCGGGACTCAAGGGGGATGGTCTTTAGGCGGGAGAGAGTTGTGAGGGTAAATTCGGTCAGCCAGGCATCGTAGTAAGAGTCGGAGTCGGAGCTTGAAGGTGCGGTGGTTGATGTTGTTGTTGGATCGGCGGAGTCGGTGGGTTTTGCGGGCGGACATGAAGGGTCGCAGTACCAAGGTGTACTACTGCCCACTGGAGAGGAGAGGAACGGATCCTGCATGGTTGGTTCTGGAGCTTGTGGATTTGGGGAAGGTCGTTGTGTGGGTAGTCGTCGGCGAAGAAGATCGGGAAAGACCCGGTATAATTGCATTAGACCGGTACAGCGGTATACTTCGGCCATTGTGAGAAGATGCCAGACTGGGGTTTCGTCGTCGCCTGGGCTGATGATTTCAGCTTCAGCTGGGTGCGCCAGAGTCAAAAGTCGCTCTTCTAGCTCTGTTGCTTTTGCCATGGCGCGCTGGGCGCGTGCAATGTCTGAGTGTGAGGTAAAGCAGCGGGAGCGAATTCGTCTGCGCTCCCGACGTATAAGCCTTCCTACTTCTTGGACGGTATGCTGTGTGTCGCGGGCTATGCCGGTCCATGGATGGGGAACGCGTTGTAGGACGAGCGATTCACCTGTTGCGGCGGCTGCGGAGCCTGGCAACACCGCCGAGTCATCTGCCACAAAGGATAGGAGCATTTCCCAGTAGACCAAAGCTTCTTCAAAGAATTGATGGTTATTGCTACGGCCTGGAATTGGTGGTCCGGCGTGCTTGGTGTCCAGATGATTTCGCAGCAGGTTGAAGAAGGAAATGCCAAGGTCCTTGGGGTCGTGCCAGCTGGCTGTTTGGCCAAGCATCAAGAGAGCTAGGAGTGACTTGTCGTCCAGGGCAGACTCCTTTGTGATGATATCGACTGCCTCATCACGCATTTTCCGGCCTAACGGGCCGAATTGAGGGAAGTCGTGGACGAGTGTTGCAGCAGCCATGCTCTGCATGGTCCGACACATGGCCAACGACGAGCCCCATAGTCGGGATACAGTCGACCGGAATGGGTTCATCTGACTGTCATAGCTCGAAAACAAGGCCGCTACCTCTTTGAAGTAGTACTCCACGAGAGTCCAAGAAGGGTTGTTGAGGGGCTGCGGGATCGATGTGAAGTCCCGCTGTGATGGCCTTGAGCCAGGTGGAGGGTAGTGGCGTACAATAGTAGAAGGTGAAAAGCCAGGAAAGATGTGAGGCTCATCTTGTAGAATCGGTGCGGCCAAAGAGAACAACCCGAACGGATCATCTGCATTGGTTCCCGGTGATTCGAAGTTCAATGCCGGGTTATTTTGGGTAGCTGTTGATGCCGATGCTGGAGAATGGAGGTCTGCCAGTTCCGGTAGTGAGCCTGACTGCTGTAAGTCCCATAAGTTGTCACATATACCGCCTGGTCCGCCTAGTTCGAGACCTCGAGGATTGGCCGGGCCGTCGGAAGTGGTGAAGTTGAGGCTGTCACCAGAGGCTATACTTCTGGATGAGAAATACAGACAAGAGGCACAGGCAATCCTGCCAAACGACGGCAAGCATACTGGTTGGACTTCACGAATTACTACTGACTGACTTTATCGACAGCATTGGAAAGGCCAAAAATGGGTCCGGACTATCCGTTAATACCCTTCGATTCCGCTTATAAGCGATTCCTGAA